GCTCACAGCAACCTCCAACTCCTGGGCTCAAGCGAGTCTCCTGCCTCCGCCTCCCAAGTAGCTGGGACCACAGGTGCCCATCACAATGCCTGGCTGTTTTTTGGTTGCAGCATCATTGTTATTTGGCTGGGCTGGGCTGGATTTGAACCCACCACCTTAGGTGTATGTGGCTGGCGCCTTAGCCACTTGAGCCACAGGTGCTGAGCCTGGGCTATTTTTTAGTTGTCAGGGTTGTTTGGCAGGCCCAGGCTGGATTTGAACCTCCCAGCTCTGGTATATGTGGCTGGTGCCCTAGCTGTTGAGCTACAGGCACTGAGCCAAGGACTCTGTTGATTAATGGGATCATCAGAAGTTGGGCAGGATTTGGATGGTTCTCTGTCATTGCCCAGCATAACCGAGCCCAGTCCTTTGGGCCATCTTCCACCCCCAGGGCCGGATCTCCTTCTACATGACCAACTATGGAGAGGAGGGGACACATGTGGGGAGTGCAGCCGCTCTGGATAACACGGACCTGGTTTTTGGCCAATACCGGGAGGCAGGTACGTCTGTCCATGGTTTGGCCCTGTGTTCCCTGTTAAGGTTCCCCAGTGAGGTTTCCCACTGAGGTTCCCCATTGAAGACCAAGTGGTCTTCCAAAAGTAGCATAATGCCAGAAAAGTCTAAGGAGCTGGAAGAACTTTCTGAGTGAGGAAGAGGCAACCCAGGGATGGAACTTTGGAGGGACTAAACATCTCTCTGAAGGCTGAGAAGTGTAGCGATTAAGAGCCTAACTTGTATTGTTCTCACTTGTATGTGGGAGCTAAGTATTAAAAACAATTGATCTGGGTGGCGCTTGTGGCTCAGTGAGTAGGGCACCAGCCCCAGCCAAACTGCAACAACAAAAAAATAGCTGGGTGTTGTGGTGGGCGCCTGTAGTCCCAGCTACTCGGGAGGCTGAGGTAAGAGAATTACCTAAGCCCAAGAGCTGGAGGTTGCTGTTACTGAGAGCAACAAAGTGAGACTCTGTCTCCATAAACAAACAAACAAAAAAAGCGATTGATCTCATAGAGACAGGAGAATGATGGTTACCAAAGACTTCGAAGGTAGCAAGGGGGGGAAAGGTAGGGATGATTAATGGTATAAAATATAGTTAAGTAGTAATATAGAACAAATAGTATTGGACAGCATAATAAAGTAACTATAATCAACAATAAGTTAAGGTATACTTAAAAATAACTAGAAGAGGCTCGACGCCTATAGCTCAACCGGCTAAGGCGCCAGCCACGTACACCTAAGGTGGCGGGTTCGAATCCCCAGCCCGGACCCGCTAAACAAC